CACGGCACTGCGATGCTGATGCTGCCTCAAAGCCGAAGCCAGAGCCCAAGCCCAAGCCGAACTTGGAGCCAAAGCCAAAGTCAAAGCCGAATCCAATGCCAAAGCGAAGCCAAAGCCAGCCAAAGTTGCAGCCAAAGCTAAAGCCACAGCCAAAGTCAAATCGAAAGCCAAAGCTGAAGCCAAATCCGTAGCCAAGCCGAAGCCAAAGCAGAGCTGAAGCCACGCTGGAAAAATAAATTATTGTCGTCCAACTTTGTTATCTCCCCGGTTTAAGTTCCGTCGTCGGCGTGGTGCCCTGTGTGTCCCAGGGCGGGGTGGGGCGGGGTGGGGCGGGGTGGGGCGGGGTGGGGCGGGGTGGGGCGGGGTGGGGCGGGAGCAGCCCCAGCTGGACGACATTCCCCCCGCCGCCCCGCCTCCCCCAACCACACCACCATCCTTCAGGGCGATTCCGAGCGTCCCGTCGGCCTGTCTCCCTCGCACCCACGCGGGACGCCCCCGCGAGTGCGAGAGAGAAACGACCTCTCGCTCAGTCCGCCCGCCGGCCGAGTCCCCTGGCGGCCCGGCCGGCCCCAGCTGGCCCACGTGCCCCCCCCCCTCTCTTTCCCCCTCCCCTCGAAGCCGCCCCCCGAAATTGGAATAAGACGGGGCAGATTCGATGCCGGATGGTTATGGAGTCTGCATGGCGAGGCGCCGCTCCGATCACACACTCCACGGCAACACGTTGCGGGCCGGCGATAAATAAGCCTCACCGCGTGAAGACCTTACTGCCTCTCGCCCTTTTTGACGGAGCATCACTTTCACCCTCCAAGTTCCCGGGGCTGGTTCCGTGTGGGTCGTCCCGCACAGTGGGCCAGAAGACCGGTGCCGGCGGTCGAAATCCCGGAAGCGCTTTGAGCTCCAGAGTCGCTAAATGGGACTCGAACCGATCGAGTAGAGTAACCCTACCAATGGATAGCTCTCCGAACGTCGAATCCATGGTGGGGGCATCACGTTCGGTTCGAGTCCCATTGAGTGACTCTTAAGCTCAAAACGCGTGTACAGTTTTGGCCGCCACTGGCCTTCTATCCCACTGCGTCCCGGTACGGGGCAGTGAACCACCGAGCCACCAGTGCTTCCGTAACTGTATGACCCTTAGGCCTAGACAGGACTCGAATCTAAACCAGGGTCAGGCTCTTAAGGCGAACATTATGATGCCGCCGCTTCACTAGAGGCGCAAGGGTTGCAAACCTCAGCCTGCCTACTATAGGCAGTGTCTGGTTGCGTAATAGCCAGGCTGAGGATGTACCTCCAGTTAATTATGAAAACATGCCCAGTGGTTGTGCTTGACCCACTGCCGACCAGGCGCCACCTCCTGGCCTTGATCTCGCTTCCAGACTATCATTTATTCGCAGAGAGAGAGAGAGAGAGAGAGAGAGAGAGAGAGAGAGAGAGAGAGAGAGAGAGAGAGAGAGTCGTGCTGACTGACTGCTTTGTTTTTCTGGGTCGGGATGTTAAGGGCCGTGGATCTGTCAGGCACTCTGACGGGCGGCGCACGCTCGCGCCGTGCGGGCCGGCGCGGCGACCAGGCACTCAGGCAAGGTCAAACGCGCGAGTAAAGTTCCCCCGATACATCCATAAAGTGCCGCCCGGCTTCCATATAAAAAGAAAAAGGGACCGGGATTTACGGTGCACGAAATATCATTCCTTCTAGGTGGCAGCACTGGCAGCGCGACAAAAGCACGACGAGTCCGGCTGTAAATAAATGACGGTCAAAGCGCGACCCGGGTCACGGCGTGGAGCGAGGCGTGGAGCGAGCCGTGGAGCGAGCCGTGGACGCCTGTCGGCGAATGGCAATGAGACGGGGCGGATGGCAAGACAGCACGAGATGGTCGTTCGGTTCAGAATGGCCAGCCCGCTGTACTTCAGGTGCGGAACAAACTCGGCCAATGTCTCAGCAGAATCATTTCTCTGCAACATTCATGTTTTAATTTGGTTTTGTCCGAGACGGTCTTGGCGATCGAATCCCACAGTGTAGACAAATTGGTGCGAGACCCGGGCGGCCGCTTATCCGGCACTTACACTGTAATGTCCGCGTCGGAATTCGCGCGCGTTACCGTCTCCGACGTGATGGACCTCGCCGACCTCGTCTCGCCGCCGACGCACCCATCGAATATTGCACCCCGCCGCGCCCCGCCGCGCCCGCCACGCCCCGCCACGCCACGCCCGCCACGCCACGCCCGCCACGCCACGCCCGCCACGCCCGCCCCGCCACCACCCGCCACGCCCCGCCACGCCACGCCACGCCCCGCCACGCCACGCCCCGCCACGCCACGCCCGCCACGCCCCGCCTGCCCCTATCGCCGTTCCGCACAACAAGACACCTCGCAGCGAGGACCACTTTACTGCCCGGCCCTAAAGAGTTTACGTCCTGGCCGAGGCCCCGTGCAGCGCGGTATGTTGACGGCGGCGGGGGCACGGTGCCACCGCCTCGGCCTCCACCGCCTCGGCCTCCGCCGCCACGGCCTCCACCGCCACGGCCTCCACCGCCACGGCCTCCACCGCCACGGCCTCCACCGCCACGGCCTCCACCGCCACGGCCTCCACCGCCACGGCCTCCACCGCCACGGCCTCCACCGCCACGGCCTCCACCGCCACGGCCTCCACCGCCACGGCCTCCACCGCCACGGCCTCCGCCGCCACGGCCTCCACCGCCACGGCCTCCGCCGCCACGGCCTCCACCGCCACGGCCTCCGCCGCCACGGCCTCGGCGGGGAGTCGAGCAAGGTGAGGGTAACGACGTTGACACTTATTAAGGGCCTCGGCCAGCCACACGGAATGACCGAACAAAGGGAATGCATCCCGGAAGGCTCGGAACCCTACGGAGACTGAGAGTGGGGAGGAACAGGGAAGGACCAACAGGCCAACGGAGATCCACACGTACCGGCGGACTGGAGTCTCTTTGTTCCAATCTCACGTTCTCTTTCTTTATCTACCTGTCCCATCCTCAAATAAGGTAAATTTTCTGTTACTATGGTTGGCGTCACAGGGTGCGCTATAAAGACACACACGTCGATGAGAAAATATTTAATCGGGTATACACAACGGATTTGTTGTAGGATGTGGGTCAGTAGTCTGAACCTAATTTATCCGAGGAAACAATTGACAGCTCTCAATATCGTTTTGTCTAGGAGACACCCCTCGCCACCACGGATCCGGACGCGCGGAGTAACGCCGCGGAGGCCGATGGGGTGGCACTGGCCAAGCAGGGAGTATCGCCAGCCGAGTAGATACACCCTGTCGCGACACTGGAGCAGCAACCAAGCCGGAGCACGGAGTATCGCCGGGGGCGCAATACACCCCAACGTCACACTGGAGATACTCCGAGCAACGCCACGGGACGGAGCGTATCTGCGCGCAGCTAGAGCGGGGAGTAGTGACAGAACGTGGACCCCTTGAAGCATGGAGTAGCGACGAGGCTCTCCTCTCTTTGAGGCCACGCACCAGAGCATCTGGCTGGGGGGTCGTCACGCCGGGTTCATTAAATGAAATTAATTTCCTATAATCTCCCTTCGCGCGGGGTATCGCCGGGTTCTTTTCATCAAACGAATGGCGTGGGGTACCGCCAGGTTCATTTCTCCCAATCACTGGCCAGGGGTATCGCCGGGTTCGTTTCTCCCAATCATCGGTGTGGGGTGGGGTATCGCCGGGTTCGTTTCTCCCAATCATCGGTGTGGGGTGGGTGGGGTATCGCCGGGTTCGTTTCCCCCAACCACCGTCGTGGGGTATCGTCGGCGCCACGCGCGAGGGCCCCGCCACGCGCCGGGGATCAGTGAAGACGACTGTGGTGTCGCCAGATGTCGCTAGCGTCCTGATCAAACGAAGCGGGCTCGCAATCGGAGCCGCTCGTCACCACGGAGCTTTATGGGGATTTCCGCGCCAAGAAGATCGCTTCCCGCGAGGATTCCGTTGCAATCTTTGACCAGTGTCGCCACTTAAGAAGGCAAACCTCGCTCACGACACCAGAGTCGAGAGGGTTGCCGACCTTTGCCTGTCTACGGGCCTACTTCGCGAGGGGAAATCCCACGTATTGCCCATAGTAGGCACGCTGGGGTTGGCAATCCCTTCGATACTGGTGCATTGTGGGCAATTTTTGCCTGTTGTTGTGGCAACACTGGGAGTGAGTGGTCCCGCGTGTCCGGTCAGTCACCCAGTAGAGACGCGTTACGATGCCTTCACTGCCAGTGCGTTAAGCCTTTACTGTCTGGAGAGGCGAGATTCCGCGCTACACTGCGAGAAACGGATGCAGCAGTGCTGCCACATTCCGTGTTGAAAATTCCCACCGTGCACCAGTGCTAAAATAGGGTTGCCAGCCGTAGCTGGCTTTGGAGGATCCAGGAAATGCCCATGCCAAGGTTGGCAACCCTGGTGACAACTGTGCATTGTGAGAATTTTCAGCCACTTGGACGACTGGATACTAGACTTGGAAAATTGGCGCTTCCAAAATTGAGCCGGGGGGGATAAGCACACTGCCAACCCAACTGTGGGACATGTCGACATAGTCAAGCTGACAGGTCGACCAAATGTGTCACACCTACCGCTGGTGTCGAATACGTTTTTGTCGTAATTTCCCTTGTCTTTTGCAAAGTTTGTCAACTAAAATAAGAGATAATTTTTCTAGAGTTTTGTTTTTGTTCCTTGATTTCTTTTTCGTTCATGTGGGTTGTGTTTTCCTTTTCCTTGCCGGGGGTGATTTCGGCCCGCTATAACTGCCCCCCCCCCCCTCCCACCCTTTTCCTCTCTATGGACTTCCCCCAGCCAGTAGCCGCCGTGGTCGCAGCGGAGCCATCAAGACGCCGTTGTCGCCCTGGACTCCGAAGAATCGTTCCATCGCTCTGTCTCTCTCGCACTCATGAGACGTCCAATAGGGGTGCGAGAGAGACAGAGCGACAGGAAGATCCTTCGGCTGATGGTTCCACGCTGCTGTGCGCGTCAGCTGGACATCGCAATAACGAGAGGTGTAATTATATTTCACGATAATCACAATCGGCTTTTATTTCAGCAAAAACGTTACATGAAATGGTACATAAATACGCTGAACTGAAACTAAACGGTTGACATTAATTTTCACACATCTCTCACAAAGATAAATAACACACCTGCTCTCCCTCGATCTACGTAATGTTGAATAGTGTAGCGCGTTGCAGAGCCGCTGGCGATGATTAATACAGGAACCCTCGACAAAATTTCTGCACGAAGCTCCTTCTTGCAAATATAAAACAAGGAACAAAACTAGCAACCCAGTGCATCTCTTTTCCAGCATGATAAGCATGCATTAAACACGATTCCAAAAGCTACGTCTTCAATCATAAAATATACAGTTTTCCATACCCATCCTAATTTTCTCATCGAAAATAAAACGCACAGCCCAAATAGCTTAATACTCAGTTCACATTTTTTTACGGTTGCAACAGACGACCGGGGTCGTGCCTAAAGCTAGATGTAGTGCAAGCCCCTCGGCAAGCACTTTTTTCCCTAGTCAATTACAAAATAATAATACTTTATAGAGCCTTGCAGAAGGCACACGTAAAAACAAGATGATTCAAAACGGGAGGGGAAGGGAACACAGGGTTTTGGTTAGAGGATTGAAACCGTGCAGATCAAAGAATCAAAAAGGAGTTGTGGAGCGCAGGAGGGGAAGGAGTTTGCGGGGGAAAAAGGGGGAGGGGGAGATACGAAGCGACAGGTAGGTGGTGGGGGTAGGGGTGGCTCGGCATAGCTGGCACGCGTTGGCTGATCGTGGTGATAGAACTAGCGGTCTCATCTGCATGGCAAAATATGCAAAACCACGTCTAACGCCATAAACGCATCCTCAGCGAGACCTGCTGCTGCGCAAAGCAAGACAGGGGGACGGAGCCACCGACCGACAGTCGGTCCACTGCCAACTGTGCCGAAAAAAAGGTGGCAGAAAGGGCACATTGTACACAGGACAACTATTGGCACGAATTCGCAACAGCAAGCGCAAGGATAACTTTGATTTAAATGCTGCTGGTATACATATAGGCTGCGGAATATTAAATCTAAGAACCACAAAATGCGATTAAGTATTACAGGTTTACAAATGACGCATTTCCTATATGCCTGTACAATTTTATACATAGCGTGAATAATACGACATGAATGACATGAATTTATTAAACCGCCATTCAGAAGGTGAGGCAAGACGACAACCGCACTGTTAGTCAGTCCATGCCCCTTTGGCTGCGAGGAGCACTATGTTTCGGGACTGATTTCGAAATTACGGCGTTCCCACCCCACCTCGAGTCAGGATATTTATTTATCATCTCTCATGCAAAGGAATCTTATCCTTTGCTTCATGATGTGGCGTACACATTTACTGCCTCCGCACATCTTAAGACTACGAGCTCCGATTCAAGAAGAAAATAAAACAAATAAAGACTAAATCTATTAAATTAACCAACTTAGCTTGGGTCTGCCTTGCGCAGTCAGTCTCCTGTGGTCCGTGGTAGAAACGTTTCTTTGAGATTCGCGCAAAATTGAGACTTTTTTTTACAACAAGTAAGAAGAACACAGCGAGACAGAGTCCGGTGACGCCGTGGACAGTTGGCACTTTATGCGCCCACTCAGAGGGATGTGGGCCAGAGAGGGAGAAGGTCGCAATAGATACAGACGACGGACAAATTGAAACGATTCAGTCGAAAATCCGTTAGCCCAAGCTAAACACGTTATAATATAAATCACATTAAATGCGCGCGGACGCGTGGACCTTTAAATCTACAAAGGTATTATCAGAGCATTAGATGACATCGAAGTACAAACAATGAGATTAAATTAAAAGAACGATATCTCATAACACACTGTTTCCATTGAATGCCGACTAAGTACAATTTACAACACCGCTATACGCTACACGACACGCGCGAATGCGCAAATATTTAAATCCCAGCGCATTTAAACCATCCCAGTACTCGTGTAGCTTCCACAAAACATAATCCGTAACAGTGCAACGAGTGCCCACTTGGACGCCGAGGGCCGGGCAGCTGGTACCGAAGGGTCTTTCTGTCTCTCCCGCACCCCAGCGGCGTACCGTAGGGGTGTGAGAGAGACAGAGAGCCTTGGCAACGACTGCCCAATTACAAGACAAGAACCCTCTCCTCAGCTGCTCTCGGCGCCCTTCGCAAGACCGTCTTCGTGGTCGTCGTCATCGTCGTGGTCGTTCAGGCCACGGCGCAGGAGTTCCTCTTGAGCATGTGCTTGGCCTTGGCGGCGGCGCTGCTGCTGCCTCCGCCGCCGACGTAGTTCGGCAAGGACTGCCTCCGGCGCCGGACGGCGGGGCTCAGGTTGTAGCGCACCTGAAACAGGACGGCGTCCTCAAGGCGGTGCCTCGGTGGCCGCGGTGGCAGCGAGGTCGAGACTGAAGCGGGAGGGGGAGGGTTCGACTCCGGGGAAGGGTATCCCCTTTGAATACTGGTGTCAATTCCTGGGGTGTTTTAATGAACCCTAGAAGTGCGGACTCTACAAAACACCCTCCTGAAACTTGTGGTTTTAGTTATGGCGACTGTACCAGGTTCAGGAACCCCGAGAGACAAGCTTGCAGTCCCGCCAGACACTGCTCCTCCCAGACCAGAGGGGGCAGAGGAGTGCGGGACCGCATTTTGTCTCAGCGTTCCTGACCCAGCCGGCACAGTGAGGTTTGATAAATCGTAACCAAATGAGTTTAAGTCAATTTGATCAACCTTTTTTAGACACTGAAAGGACAGTTCCGGCCGCCAAGTTTCTCAACTTTTCCCTGGCGTGACATGAGGACGCGTAACAAAGAGCCAAAGTGCACGCGCGTGTGGGACGAGCAGGCACGTGTAGCACCGGCCGGCCGAAACAGTCGGACGGACCGACAGATGGGCGAGCAGACAGATGCACAGACGGACAAGGTGGGCTGGAAGAACAAACACCGAGATAACGATATGTTGGTCCCGGCAAAGTTCCACGAAACAAAAGACAAAGGGCGCTGGTGTCGCGGCCAGGGCGGTTGCTGCGGGGCAACGAAAAGCAAAGTGGGGCTCTGAGCTAATTGCGCAATTGGGCAGTGTGCTGCCCACTCCCAACCCCACCCCTTTTTCCGTGTGTCGCCACCACGCTCGCCGCCAGACCACAGGCCGGACACAGGCCGGGCCGAGTAGCCGATGCTGGTCACTGCGCGGCCATAGGGTCGGCGGTCCTCAGGGTGCGCTCGGGGCAGCTCGGTGGACAAAGCCCCGGAGCTGGACGCACATTCGGGCCTGCCGTGGAAAGGGTTGGCTAAGGTCACACGGTTTGCCTGACCACTTTCGTTGCGCGGGTTGCGAGAAATGCAAGGAGTTCCGGCGACAGCGAACGGATTGTCAGGGTTTTGGTATCCTCTTAAGGCTTTCTTTCTACTTCGCAAAGAAATGATGAACCGGTCGATGCAGGCAAAAATTAGTTCACTTTTGTAAATTGTGTCAGAATGTACAGAAACCTGTCTGAAAACCTGATGAAAATTCACAAAACTGTGAAAGCTGAAAAGTGGTGCGCGAATTTTGATCGACAAAATTCTCTCGAGTGTTCTGAGCTTGTCTGCATCAACTCTTTTCATTTGTGCGCACCCAGCTCTCCATTCCATCTGGATTTGACTCTGAACAATTTGCCTGTTTCAATTTGGAATACTCTTATCCATACGGATTTAGAAATGTCTAGGTAGATAAGAGGAATTCCATGCTATAGCTTTTGTCTGGAAATTATGTTTCTCAGATAGAAATATAGTTTCCACATGGAACTGTCAAACCCAGAATGGAGATAATAATCATGGATCCTCACTTACCTCGAAAGGGCATCATAACATTACCACATTTGACCCGCCAAGCCGGACGTACCTTGGACACGTTGAGCAGCTCCTTGAAGACGTCGATGATGCCCTCGTTGCCCTTGGCCGAGCATTCGATGTAGCCGCACTCCCAGTCCAGACGAGCCGTCGTCTCCGTGATCTCCCTCTTGATGGGCCTGGCCTGGCCCTGGTTCTCCAGCGCCTCGTCCAAGTCCACCTTGTTGCCCACCACCACGATGGGCACCCGGGGTTCGCGCGCCTCCAGGATCTAAGCAAACAGAGAGACAAAAGGCTAAAGACTTTAATTTTAATATTTTTTGGATTTTGAATTTTTTAAGTTTTAGTTTTCTTTGTTCCACATTGCAAAAATTTCAGTAGTTTTGAACGGAAAATGTACGAAACAGAAATGCCACAAGCTACAGGCTTTTATTTTATTTATAAGTCCGTCGGCAGCTCATGTCATGGTGAACTGCGAAGTACCACAGAACAACAATCAGGTGGTGAAAACAGAAACAAATCATCTTCCTGTTTGCATCCCGTGCAGCACTCAGCACGATTGACACAACCATCCGGAGGTTCTCGAGGGAAGGAAGGAAGGGCCGTCGCCTGCATTGGTAGAATTGAGTTGTCTCAACGGCAGAAAAAGGAACCGGGACAGACAGTTCCATTGCTTTTTCATTGCGTGGATGTTTTGACCTCAAATAGCATTCCACTCGGTGCTCTTGGTGTGTAGACGGAGAAGCACAGAGACAGACCGACAGACAGCAAGGCCGTGAGAGCAGACAGAGAGCCAGCCAATTACCACGCGAAGCAAGGTGAAAGGGTTTAGGTAAACTCCGCGCCTTGCGCAGCCCAGCCCGTGTGCAGGTAGCGTGGAAGAGGACTAGAGCGGCTTTTAACCGCTTAGATGAAATATTCAGCGCGACGGTCTGTCTGTCTGTCTGTCTGCCTGTGTGTCTGTCTGCCTGTCCGCGGCGTGTATGGGTTGAGACAAGAGCCAGGGCAATTCAGTCGGTTCATGAGGCGAGATCAGTACACTCAAAGCCCTATCCACGATCAGCACCTGTTTAGCCCTGACCCAGTTTTGTATGAGTCTGTGTGTGAGAGTGTGTGTGAGTGTCTGCGTGTGTGTGTCGGATTTGGGCCTTTGGTACGTCTGCTTGTGGAATGAGACCACAGCTCGTAGATGGCGGTCTGGCGCACTCGAAGCCTCCAAGCGCTTGTCGGCCACTGCAAAGCCATGTTTCGAGAGCTCGCTGCGTTACGCCGAGTAGCGGTAGACTCGGAGGCGGATGAGCACGGGCTGGGATCACGTAAACAAACTAACTTACAACAGTATACTTTGTTCTTGTCTTAAAAGAAGAAACAAAAATAGCGGCCCCGTACAACCCAGCGTGTGTCGTAGCCCAATAAACTTGAAAAAAAGGACACTTTGGAATTCTGAAAAAAAAAACGTTAACGCTAACGCTAACGTGAAAGCAGATGATACTTAAGAGAATGTTTATTGAAATGTATGAATGTGACATTTTGTCAATTTCTTTCAAAGAGTAAACACTCGGAACTCTTTTTTTGGCAAATTTCTTACACATGGTTATTCATGAAAATGTCAATTTTAGTATAACTTTTGAATATCCTAACGTGCCATTGTTTTGTGTTAAACATGTTCGCAATGACGGTGGGACACTCATGTCCGATACCACTTGTGTTGGGTATCATTTTCGTTGTTTCAACGCGAGGATGCACAATTTGGTGGCTAATCACATAAATACTCAATACCCGTAAAAGTTGTGTTCGGTACTAGGCCAAGGCGCCTTGCGGCACGCGGCGTGTCAGCCACATCTCCAAGCGGGGCCGGCCGGCCGGCGCGCCACCCGAACCCGACCTCAAGATAGATAAGCAAGAGTGGCGCACACAGCCGACTGCCGGCGCGCCGCTTCTCGAGAGGGGCAGGGGTTCGAGGGGGCGCTGCACCATGCGTTCTACGCACTCAAGGTTCAAGTGGGTGTGTGTGTGTGTGTGTGTGTGTGTGTGTGTGTGTGTGTGTGTGTGTGGACAGTTGCGGGGTGTGGCGGGGCGCGGCGGGACGTGGCGTCTCGGCAGAGGAAGAGGCGCGGGGGGCAGCTGCGCGATGCGTAGCAGCGTCTCGTGACGAGAGGAAGGGGAGCGGCACCGCGCAACGTGAGGGAGGCACTTCATGAGTACTAGATAGCTGGGTTTATACGCCCGAGGTTATACGCCGCGCGCGCAACCTGAGCCCCCGCAGGCGCCCCGATTCATGGTGCGGCGCGCGGCGCGGCACGGCGGACTGCGGGCCCTCCGCTCATAATCTTCTAGGCAGGCCAGCCAGCCGCTGCCTTGCCAGCGAGGCGCTCGGCCTCTTCTAGGCTTGCTAGTCAGGCAACGAGGCAACTGCTGCCTGGCTAGCCGGAAACTCGGTACTCTCTGCACGAGAGTACAAGCACGCTGATACGTGAACGTATCATCTGCTAAAAACCTAGCTACCAGTGAACCCCTAAAACTTTGAAGAATCCTGTATACGAAACAATTTAAGTGGTTGCTCCCTCCAACAAAACAGCCGGGATGTTGGTTACCTGCTGGCGCAAGTTGGCCACCTCCTCCCAGGAGCGAGCGTCGTCGATGGCGAACACCAGGATGAAGGCGTTGGCCTTCTTGATGGACAGGGCGCGCATGGCGGGGAACGAGAAGGCCCCCGACGTGTCCAGGATGTCCAGAGTGAGGGATGCGCCGTCTGGCAACGAGTACTCGGCATGGTGGAACTCCTCCACCGTCTCGCGGTACTTCTCCAGGTACCTGCCAACAACAACACCCTGGCGGTCAACAACAAGAGTCTTTCCTTGACACGAGCTAGGCACACATGAACCCGTCACACGATTGGCGTCCCGCCCTCTTCTCCGGGTACTTGTCAACAACAGCAACACCCTTGCCGTCAACAAAAAACAACAACAGCAACAAAGGCTCTTACTGCCACTTATCCGCAATCCTTGAGTCCTTCCTGGAAGGCGCCCCTTCCCCCTCCCCTCCCTCGGGGTGCCGGGGATGAACAGCATGTGCCACAAGGCGGTGACCCGGGACACCGGAGAGCCCTTTCTCTGCTCTGCCTCTCTCGCACTCGTGGGGCAGCCCATGGGTGCGCGAGCGAGACAGAGCGAGGACGACGGCGGTTCAAGGGCCGCTTCCCGGAATAACACGTGGAAAGTGAGGCAGCGCGGCTACGGCCAGCCGAGCGCCACCGAGCGCCACCGAGCGGCCAGCGAAGGGAAAGTTGGCGCCCCTTCCCACAGAGAGCGTGGGAACCAGCCCTTGCTTGCAGACACGTGTCGCTTGGGTGTCACTTGCGTGTCCCGCACGTGTCATTTTGCGCGTCTCGCATGAGTCACGCGTGTCACTTGCGTGTCACTTGCGTGTCACTTGCGTGTCACTTGCGTGTCACTTGCGTGTCACTTGCGTGTCACTCGCGTGTCACTCGCGTGTCACTTGCGTGTCACTCACGTGTCACTCGCGTGTCCCGCACGTGTTACGTGTTCATTGCGTGTCACTTGCATGTCCCGCACTTGTCAATCGCAAGTCGTACGTGTCACTTGAATGTCCTGCACGTGTTCTGCATGTGTCACTTGCGTGTCCCACAGGTGTCACTCCACATGTCCCGCACGCGTCACTCGCTTGTCACGTACAAGTCACTTCGTGTGTCCCTCACGTGTCACTCGCTGGTGACGAACGTGTCTCGCTTGCCCCGCACGTGTCAATCGCTTGTCACGCACGTGTCACTCGCGTGCCCCGAACGTGTCCCGCCACTCGGCTGTCGTCACGTTTCGGCTTCACCCCGTGACTCTTCGACTCGAAAGAAACAAAACAAGGAGTCGCCACGTCGGGTGGATCCCGAGTGAGAGGGAAAAGCAAACTGGATACGGTGCACCTGCTGGCGACTCTCTCTCTCTCTCTCTCTCTCCTCTCTCTCTCTCTCTCTCGCCCCTTCAGAAAGCGGTGGAACGTGGTGGAACGCCCCGTCAGTGCGACTGTGACAGCAAGCGACGCTCTTGGAATCGGCCTGCTCGGCGCGTGCTCGGCGCGTGCCTAGCCACGCTGCGGCGACGGCGGCGCGGAGGCGGAACTAGGGGGAAGGGGGAGGGGGCGCCTCTCTGTCGGCCCGAGGCACCGAGCGAAGACGCAATGCCGCGCAGTGCTTTGCCGCGCCAACAGTGCTGGGGAGCACCGAAAGGAGTTGTCAACAATTTGAAGGGGAAAGGCGATTGCGGAGCAAATTGGCACGGCGGCGCGTGGCGCGAGTGGCGGGGCTGGCGCGGGGCTGGCGAGGGTGGCAGGCTGGCGGGGCTGGCGGGGCTGGCAGCAAGACGGCCAAGCAACGGGGTGCCTGCACCTCGGTCACGGCTGGCCTTGGCTCGCCGTCCTCAGGAGGCAGGCTGCGCACGCTCCGCCAGCGCGCCGGCGTGCAAAACAGAACGGCAGCACGAAAACAGGCCACCAGGAGAAGAGAAACGCGAAAATTCGTCGGCGGGTTTCGCCCCGTCCCGAACAAACACCTGCCGAGATTGCACGGAGACGGTCTTCCGGTTGGCACAGTCCGCACGGACGGAGAAGCCGAAAAATTTCCGTCGAAACCGGGGCAGAGAGTGGCGCGCTCGTCACGAGGCGGAGCGCCTTCGCTTTATCTCGCCGATAAAAGGCCAACTGTTAACTGAACTGGGTCGACGTTGCACTCTCTCCCTCCCTCTCTCTCTCTCTCTCTCTCTCTCTCTCTCTCTCTCTCTCTCTCTTTTTCCCTCTCTCTCTCTCTCTCTCTTTTTTCCCTCTCTCTCTCTCTCTCTCTCTCTCTCTCTCTCTCTCTCTCTCTCTCTCTCTCTCTCTCTCTCTCTCTCTCGCTCTGCGTGATGCGCCGTGCCGCCATGCAGTGCACGGCGCTGAAGTTTTCTCATAAAGCATCCCGCGCCACGCACGGCCTCTGCCGGCCTCGGCCGGCCTGGCGGTTGGTCCAATCGATCTGTCTCTCTCGCACTCATTCGGGACGGACCCGTCAGAGCGAGAGAGAGAAATAACCATTTCCGCCAAAATCAGTTTGCAGCCTCCAGGCAGTCAACGCGTCATTTAGTGCGGGTGGAGGCAGCCAGCAGCGAGGCCGGGGCGTGGGTTCGAACACCTGAAATTCCTGTTTGCGGTTCCGTTTGGCGCCATAGGGAAGTGTTTACGGTTTCTTGCAGGCTTAAGTGATGCGCTAGAATGTAAAATTTGGCCCGTACAACCATAATTCTAATTACTTGGACCGAACGGGGGCAACCATACGGTCAGCTTGACCCAGGGGCTGAACATTTTTCTCAGTGCTCTTGGCACGGATTGTCATGCTATATACTTAAGAACCGATAGAGCGCAGAAAAGAAGCGCAACCGCAGACGAAACTTCATTCGCAGCTCAGACAAAAGTCCGAGAAAATCTAAAACCAGATTTGTCCCAAATCTGCCAAGACGAATGCAAAACTCTGCTCCCGGATCCAACTGACAAGACCTTGGACGGACACACGTGCCGAGGCGCATTGGGGCGTGGCGGGGCGGGGCGGGGCAGGGCGAAGCGGGCCGCACTGGTGCGAGGCGGACACACGCAGCCGGATTTGCTACATGTGTGAAACGCGGGGCCGCGGGGTGGTCCGCGCGCTGACTGTGGTGCGAACGGAGCCGCGACCGCAAGGCTACCGGACGAGCGCTCTGAACCGTCAGCCGCGCCTCGGAGTTTCAGACCGTTTAAGAGAGAGAGAGAGAGAGAGAGAGAGAGAGAGAGAGAGAGAGAGAGAGAGAGAGAGAGAGAGAGAGAGAGAGAGAGAGAGAGAGAGGAGATACAGACAGACAGAGTGACAGAGATTGGCAAAGGCCAATAAGAGGGAGAGAAAAAGACCGCCGTTTTAAAACGGGTTAAAGAATGACGGTCTCGAAATGACGCGATATTGCTCGAAAAGGCGGCCCGCCTCGCCCTGCCCCACCTCTCCTTTTACGAGCCACCGGCCGGGACGGGGATTCATAACCTGGCACAATGTGGCCAAGGAAGGGGATGGGACGAAATCGCTGCCTTCGCACAGCGCCTCGCAAAGCCTCGGCAGCCCAATCCTAGGATTGCTGGCCTTATGAGGTCAATACGTGTCCCAGGGCTCCTTTCGAGATCTCCAAAGATTGCTGGACGGTCCTGGACGGGCCACGCGCGGCTTCTCTGTGTTGGTTGGCCGGATTCCGTTCGGAGGATGAAGAAGTGGAGTGAGGGATGGGGGCACCTCTTGAAGCTTAGTAAAGCTCAAGTGAACTGCCACAAAATGTTTGGGTTGGCGTGCTTTCTCACACCACTTTTCTGAAGCAGAAGTCACCGAATTTTGATGGTTTTGACAAAAAAAAACAGATGTTTGATTGAACTAAAGATTGATCCAAAATCGACCTTGTGAGTCGATTTCACTTAACCATTTTCAACAGTAAACAGATCACAGCCACACTGATTTCTAGCATTCGGCTCAAAAGTTTAAAAAAAAAACGATAAACGGCTTATGGTTTAGTTCCGGTCGAAACCCAATTTGGACCGTTGTCGCTTTACGTTGACGGTCACACTTCCCTTTAATTCCGTAAGGTCGGTAGAGCCCTTAAGGGCCACTGCTGCCGGGCCACTGCCAACGCGGCAACGCGCGGCCACGCCCTTAACCTTTGCTGGTAAACAGGTCCCTGCATCCCGGCAGGCCACGGCAGGCCAGGGCAGGCAGTCCCTCCCCCCACAGCAGTCCCAACTCCCATCCCTTTTACCTGCCCACCGCCGCGCCGCGTGCACCCCTCCCCCTTCCGTCTCCCGGGGCGTCACTAACCCGCCGCTTCAGCGCACACTCTCCCAACCCCAACCTTTACCCTGGTGCGCGGCCCGGGCGGCCCGGGCGGCCCCAAGGCCAAGGCCCCCTGGGTTGAGGGGGAGGCGCAGGGCGCAGGGAGGGAGGGGGTATGGAACCAATCACTCCGTGGCGGGGTGGGTCCCGAACAGGGCACAGCGCGGTCGGGCTCGGCGCAGAGGGGAAGACTCGTTCGGTTTGACTCGCGCGTATTACGCTGATGACGCGACTACCGTCAAGCCAAAGAGGCGATTTGGGAAGGGAAAAGAAGAAGAAGAAGAAGAAGAAGAAGAAGAAGAAGAAGAAGAAGAAGAAGAAGGAGAAGAAGAAGAAGAAGAAGAAGAAGAAGAAGAAGAAGAAGAAGAAGAAGAAGAAGAAGAAGAGGAAGAAGAAGAAGAAGAAGGGGCATCCATACATCATTAGTAGGAAGCGGTAGTGCCCGTCATTGTTCGTCTGCTGGAATCGTGGAGAGCTGAGCACTCTTCCCAAATTAAGCACAAAAACAAAAGACACCCCAAATAAAACGACAAAAAACGAGTCGGAGCAAGGAGCGCGCGGGGCAGGGCAAGGGTAGGGGGCAACAAGGCAAGGTGAGGCGAAGGACCACAAGGACCTCATCACCGGCAGGGACAACAGCGCGTTTCAATCAGGAACAATATACACTGCCGTTTCGTTAACCAGGGGCCTTTGTTTTTAAATTTCGCGCCGCTCTCTAAGGAGCTCAGTGTAAGCAGAGAGGGGGTTGAGGACAGCTCTGAGACGCGCTGCCACTGTCGAGCAAAGGTCTTGCGACCCTCTGACCTAGTACCTTTAATTAAATCCCGCTAACAAACCCACCGATGGAGCAGCCAATAACGACCCTCCAAACTTTAACCTTCCCCCCTCCCTCCTGCTCCAACTCCTAACCTCCCCTCTGATCCCCCATTTTGGACCCCTGATCCCGAGCGACGGCCGCATCCCTCTTTGTCAACACCAGCGCTGCTCGAGTACGGGTTCGGCCAGACTTCTCCCATCAAGGTCTTCTTCCTCTTCCCGCTTCTAGGAACCTACTGCCCCTGACCCTGCTGTTCTGAATCGTGGAAAAAAAAACAACACTTCCGCGAAACAACTAGTTCACTTTACTCGTCATGAATCTCAATCAATGAATGTCAGTGAAGGTCGAGGTTAAATTCGCACAATGCAAGGGTTAATTCCCACGGTGAAAACGGTTTCTGGTTTTCCCTGGAACTCCCTGTCTTGACTAAGGCATCCTGGGACAACCAGGAAGCGTCTTGGCTGTGCTGACTTGAAGTTGCTTTATTATTTTCAGGAATCGAAACGGCACGACTGATTTTAATCATGAAAATGTGCGATGAATCCGCCACCTTCTCTGACGGAACTTACTTGTCGTAGAGGAACTGCGCGATGATGGAGGACTTGCCGACCCTGGCCGCCCCCATGACCACCACCTTGTGCTGCTCCTTCTGCAGTGAGCTGCCGCTGGGCTCGGAGCTACCCACCGAGGGCAGCCGCAGTCGCTCGCACGGACCGGGCATGGTGCCTGCAACAGAGTTCCAATACATCTTCAGGGAAAAGTAGTACACGTTTTGGAGTGGCACAGTGAAAGTGCTGAGTCGCGAGCCGTGGGCGGGGACTGTACAGCTAAAGGAACGCGGAAACGGCTGCCGAGGTCCGGAACGGTTGGACCGCACTGTACTGTCCAAGCGACGAGTTTCACCCCATTCTACGGCGGGGTGAAGGTCGCGTGTGGACGGGCCAGCGCACACTCTCTCTCTCTCTCTCTGGCAGAGCGACGAAATCAGTCCGCCGATTATGCAAAACTTCACCGGCAATCTGCGGGTGATTCGATTCGTGGTGTCCAAGGCCAGTAGGGTAAGCGGCACAGCGTGTCCTCGCTGTCTCTCTCGCGCCAATTCGTTAAACCCCATAATGAGAGCGAAGGAGACAGAGCGACGCTATGCCAAATCGCTCCGCTGGCAGCGCGGCGCGGCGCGGCGGACGGAGTGGAGAAATTCAATTACCAGTTCCATCCTTGGAGGCCTTTCAACTTTCAAACTGATGCGCTCGCCTCGCCATTTTACACTTTATTACCCGCCTTTTGCCATTTCCTGTCTTTTTCTTTCCTAGTTGGTGCCTCCGCTTCAGCAGCTTTGAGCCTTTCCCATCTGTGTGATTGAGTTTCAGATCAGTGGTCTCCTCCATGTCCATCTCGTCATCATGAGCATTTGCTCTTTTAATACTCGTGATGTTCGAAGGGCTTTGGCACTCGGTAAACCCCGTTTCAAACTAACTTACTTTTTCCATGCCCATTTTTCACCGATTTGTACAAATTCCTCCTTTGGTCCAGCAGCTCTCTCAGTCAGGCAGTTAGTACGTGCACGGCACAGAGCAGAGAGAGAGAGAGAGAGAGAGAGAGAGAGTTAAAGGTAGGACGAGGCAGGTGTAAAGCACCCAACGAAGCAAGTAGAGAGGGAGCGAATGAGAAGTGATACACGAAACCGACAAGAGCAGCCGGTAGTGAGGAGGGAGAAAGGGAGAGGGAGACGGCGAGAGACTGTTTGCGGCTGAACCTGTTGCTCGAGGACTCGTGGGACCCATACCCAGGCAGGGCCCAGGGCCCAGGGCCAGGCAGGCCCCAGGCAGGCCCTAGGCAGGCCCCCGGCAGGCCCTAGGCAGGGCGCTAGAGGCCTTTAAGTGGTTTCAGGGCGTGGCGCGTGGCAAGGGAGGGGCGCAAAAAAAAAAATGCCCGTAGTTCCCTTTCCCGCGGCACATTCATTTTTTTCGCGACTTGTTTTGTGGTTTGCGCGAAACTTGTGATCAAATGGATGTAAACTGGGCAATCCTTTCTGTATTTTTGGGCTCGCTGGTCATCTGTAACTTGTCATGGTACAAGGCCTACAAGGCCATTGTGTTTGTCCAATTCTGGACGGCCTCACATCATTTTAAAATAAAAAGAGAACAAACTAACTTGTTCTGTTTTTCTTTCAAATTTGAACGGACACCAAAAGAGCACGAATTTGTGTGAAACTTTTCATGAAAACAGTACATCAATATGTAACGTGTGCATTCAGTGTGGGGTGGTTGGTCTCTTGGCAAGGCGCAATTTGGTCAGGGACAGGCGTCAGCGTTGGTCTTTATGAGTCCATATAAACGGCCCTTCATAAAACCATGTGGCCTTTTTAGGACCGGGAGGAAGGGGCAGGGTCAGGGTCATCCAGACGTTGAATCAAAAGGAAAATATACGAAAGTTTCAATTGACAATGAGTTGATATCTCATTGGAAACCATTGGTGACATCGATTCGGCAGCTTAGCTATCGACCGATGTTCAACTATCCTTTTTGTTTTTGTTTTGCCACGGCAAAAAGTACAACTGGTTTTCCCAGGAACACTAAAAAAAAAAACACGGGGTCAAGATCACACCAGTGGTGCGGTTGGTTTTCAGTGTACGTAGCCTTTAGTAGAAAAGACAGGCGGAAACACCAGAAACCGTTTTTGCCGTGTGGGCTTGGTCACCAGCTCTGCGGCCCAACGCCCGGTTCGGCGAAGTTGTTTGCTCGCGCCGTGTCATGGGTCGAGTTTCACTAAAAAATACACCAAAATAGCGAGCGAGTATTTTTCCCCTTTTTCCAAGTCAGCGCGCGCAGTCCTCTTCTGCTCCTCGCCTCCCGGTCCGAGCCACTGGCCTGCGAGGCCTGTGGCGGCCTCTGCCACGGCCACAGCGATTCACGGTGTGGCGTGTCAACACGCGTTATTGCGTCTCGTGTTTTCGTTGCTGGCCGGCCGGCCTGCAGGCTCAGCCAGCAGTCGCGCTGTCTCTGTCGCACTTGCGGGGCGCTTTGCGCAGGGTGAAAGAGACAGAGCCACGCTGCCTGCCGCCTCGGAGGCCCGGCCGATGAGACCCGGAGCGAGCCGAGTGCGACCGCACCGCAATCAAACAGCACACTCATCCACACAGTATAAGCAAAGCAACTCAATAAACATGCGAACGGGGCCAAAAAGGAAAAAACGAGAATTTTCGAGAAAGATGGTGTGAGTGTGCGCAGGGCGGCGGCCGTCCAGAACTAGCCCTTCACACGTGGACCGCAAGGGTCTTCCCTTGGGGGAAACCAGCAAGTGGGAAGCGAGGGGGCATCCTCGACACCCGCCCAGCAACAGCACCGCCGCCGCCCTCACGGCCAGGGGCACCGAGGGGAAGGGGACGGGGTAGCAACAGGCTAGGCAATCGGCAGTACCAACCGCTCAAGGCGGAAGAACTGTGCCAACCGATCATTCAAACTCGAAACGACCGCACCACATGTTATTACCATCTGTTACCATCCGAACCCATTTCAAAGATGAAACTGTGTTGTTGGCGTTTGAAACGAATCGTTCTTCCCCTCGTTTCAGGTGTGTGTTGGGCCAGAAGACCAGGACAGGTGGCCAAAACTCTAGACGCGATTTTAGCCCCAGGGTCGCTAGGACTCGAATGAATTCCTCGTTCGAGGAGCAATCCATAGGTGGGATCACACGTTTGGTTCGAGTCCTGTTTAGCAACTATAGAGCTCAAAACGCTTCTAGAGTTTGGGCCACCTGCACCGGTCTTCTGGCCCACTGTGTGTCGGGCACTGAAAGGCGTGCAGGCAGATGGGGCCGCAAGTGGCGGGAAGGGAAAACGGCGGGGCGAATCGAAGGGCGGCCAAGCGACTAATCGACTCGCTGAGTGGACTGGGCAGTGGCGAGGCAGTGGCCCTCTATCCTCACGCCTCACGCCGCCCGTGTGATGGCCATTGATTGGGTTCTGAGCGAAAATTCATCAACCTGCCACGGGCACGCACGCGCGCGCGCGCCCACACACACACACACACAGACAAACGCGCGCACACACACACACACACACATATACACACACGCGCACACACACACACACATGCACACACACACACATGCACACACACATGACACGCACACACACACACACATGCACACACACACACATCGCACACACACACACACACACACACATGCACACACGTCAGCACGCGCACGGCCGCGTGCACACGCTGGTCACTGGCCGCGCCTGTTTTCGCTGCGTTCGACAGGTTTTTTTTTCCCGCCTAGAAACACACGAGGGTCGACGCTCGCTCGGCAACGACAACACTGTCCGTTCATCCGTGGTCACGATGCCGCGCTCGGCTCGGATGATGAAGCGACTCGTTTCGGCCACTGCGTAGTTTTGCTCGTTCGAGTTTAAACGAAACGCGAACAACAAAACGGAGCGCCGCGAACAGCGAATCGGCTTCCGCTATTCAGTGCGGCGCATCGCTCACTGTCCCGCAGGCTAACTTTGCCAATTGGGAAAATGGGTACGTAAGTTAGATTAAAACGCCGCCATGCGTGCTGCTGCCGCGGCGTGCCGGCCCGGGGCCGCCTGGGTCGGTGGCACTGCGAGGGGAGCGCCAGCGGACTGCACGCGGTGGTGCAGTTTGCCACAGGCAAAAAACGCAGCGCAGTGCGCCAGTAAACCGGTGGAGGTGATCAAAACCCAGAAAGCGTTTTGAGCTCCAGACTCGCTGAATGGGACTCGAACCGAACGTGTGACCCCACCAATGGGTTGCTCTCCAAACGAGGAATCCATTAGTGGGGTCGCACGGCTGGTTTGAGACCTGTTTAGTGACTCTGGAGCTCAAAACGCGTCCGGGAAACTGACCGCTCCCACCGGTGTTCTGGCCCACTGCACCACGCCGCACCCGCCAGAGCGTGGCTCTGACCCTCTCGCACTCCATGGGGCATCCCGCAATAGTTCGAGAGGGAGAGTGACCGAGCGACGAAACGAACCTTGGAAATCGCTCGCCTGGCCGCGGGAGCAGCGCGGGCAGCGCCACGTGTGGACCGGCCGGCCTTGTTCATATTGGCATCTGCTGTAGACGCCTGGCCAGCCAGCGAGGGCCTTCCAGTCCAGTTGAGCGGCTCTCTCCCTCTCTCTCTCTCTCTCTCTCTCTCTCTCTCTCTCCTCTCTCTCTCTCTCTCACACACACACACACACACACACACACACACAAACACTTACACAGTCTCATACACACAAAGCCCCCCACATACACACACATCATCATGCCCCCAATCTCTCTCTCTCTCTCTCTGAGCAAAAAGCGACCACTTTCTGAGGCTTCGGTGGATCGACGTGGTGTGGCGTGGCGAAAACGGGAAAACGAGAAAACGGGGCCAGCGGCATGGTTTTTGCGTTCGCAGTGTACCAGCCAGGCGGCCGGCAGAAAGGGCCGCGAAAATCCCCCTGCCTCGTTCTTCTCCGCTTTTGCACCGACAGAGTGCGTTGTGCGGCGTGCCTCGCGGGGGGTCTTTGCCACGCCTGCACCGCCCTGCGTGCGCTGGAGGGAGAGAGAGAGAGAGAGAGAGAGAGAGAGAGAGAGAGAGAGAGAGAGAGAGAGAGAGAGAGAGAGAGAGAGAGAAGGGGGTCGGTGCCCCTGCAAGGATGCCGCTATAGGCCGCCGCCAAAACGCCACGCCTCGGGCAGCCACCGGTATGTCTATCGCTAACGGCGG